TGGAAGACCAACTCCACAAGGCACTGCAGGGCATTTTGCTAAAATATGTTGGTGCATAAGATACAGTGGACCTGGCTCTAAAGGAGCTGTTGTTTGGATCACTGCATTTTCTTGGTTGGAATATTCTCTTTGAATAAGCAATAATATATTCTCTGCCATCCTGGATGCATGCCAGTAAAAGTCCTAAACCTTTCTTGCTAGCATCTGTATATAATATAAAGGGTCATTTATAATCTCTGTAAGCCATGATGGGGCCTTTCGTCACTTTGTCTGAAGCCTGCTTGTGTTCTGGAGACCGTTCTTACTGACTTTTGGCTTGCAAGGAGAAATCTTGGGGTGAGTCTGTCTGTCTTCTTTCAGACTTACTCGCTGTCTCGTTATACCTACAGTGAGTCCCAAGTTATGTACCGTCATGCATCTTACAATTAGCTGCATCCTGGCTATTCTACCTCCCCTGCTTACATGCTGCAGTGGAAACCAAACACCTGAAAGTAACATTTATAGGAAAGTGATGCTAAGTATGTGAAGCAAAGAGCATGATGTTTTGCAAATGGGAATGGATCTTTCACCCCTGGGTGGGTGCCTTTGTAATGGAAGTCTTCCTTCTCTTGGTAAAGAAAAAAGTTAGCAAAATCTGTATTTGTATCAGATTCCCCAAGTGTCTTTGGGATTTGACTTGTTTTTTGCCCTCAGGATCTGTGCTGTGCTTCATAAAAGCCGTTTTTTGACTGCTTTAAAGAAGAGTCTATGAGTGCTGATGTGACAAGTGTTGTGTTACTTTCCTGGACTCTGAGCGCTCCAGCTGAAGAAAGTGGAAGTTTGTTTTTAACCCCCAGATATAACTGAATGATCTCTTTCTTTGTCCTAGACTATTAGTCCTGTTCAGACTGGCAAACCAGGTGATAGCTTCAGGCTAGGAAACCGATGAAATGAGAACCTCAGGGAAGGTTCTCATTTCCTGTAACCATTGCTCCCTTTTTATTATGGGTCCCTGATTAGGTCATCTGAGGAAATGAACCTGGGAATGTTTTTTTTTCCCCAATGTGCAGACCTCTATCATGTGAGCTGGAGTGTGGGAGCAGCCTTTGCCTCCTACCGCTGCCTGAGGCTCTGTCACTGGAGTGTAACGAGGTCTGTCCAGCAGCACGTCTCGCTTCTGAGAAAGGCTTTTCAAAGGCAGAAATGATAACTCGAGGGATAAATTCCTTTGACCTGCTAGGGTAAATGCGTGCCTGAAAAACTTACTGTAAGGACCAGGTAGAGTGAATGTGCAAGAGACACCTACTCCAACAACAGCTATTCTGGACTAATTTGGAAAAAAACAATCTGAATGCATGCCAGCAGCACTCACCAAGCTAAAGGGCTGGAGAAAACGTTTTTGTAGTTAGCTACAATATTCAGCCATTCTTGCAGTTTTTGATACAGGCTGCCTGCGCAGTGCCACCTGCTTAGAACCAGGTCCACAGGGGTGTTTAATGGAGTGTTAGACTCCAACGTAGGTTGAAAATAATCCTTGAAGGATCAAGGTGAGGTTGAATCTGGGTCTATGCAGGGGAAGAATGTGGAGGGTATTGGTTAGGTTCTAATTTCTCTTTGACAGTTGCAATTTGGAGTTTCCATTACACATTAACCGGAGCAGGTAGGCTGCCAGATTCCCTCTGGCAAGTGGAGAGGGCCTCCAAGGCCTGCTCTTTTCTTCTGTGCTGTGCTGGGGTGTGTGGTGCTGTCCATCTCTTCGTTCCCCTTCCCACCTCGTTCACCTTCAGGGATGTGAAGCTCTCCCGTTTCAGCATCAGCTGTGTAGCGTAGGGTTTTGCTTTTAGCGCGGTTGCGTGTTCTGTGTCAGACGAAGAAAAACTTTGTCCTTCTCCAGGAAAGTGGGACAGTTTGTCTCAGAAGCAAGTCCATTAAAATCAGGATTACGGTGGAATGATATCAGTGTGGGATAATCCAATTCCACACAATGGAAACGGTACTTTTTTGCAAATGAACCTTTGTCATGGGAGAAGGCTGGGAGGGGTGGGGGCATATGTATGCAAGCTATGTAACAGTTCAGGCATATTGTGTGTAAATAAATGTTCAGTTTATTTAGATTCCATTGGCAAGCCAGAAAAATGTTCTTAATGTGAGGGCAGGCCCTCAAGTGTTCAATAAATGTGCTCTGTTTTAAAATGTTTGGTAACTTTATTCTGGGTTTGTTAATATCTGTGTCCCTTCTTGATCTATTACATGTTGCTGGTGTGCATACTACGGCTTCATTCTTTCTCCTGTGGTTGGACCAGTTCTTTTCCTCGTTGCATGTTAATGAGAAGTTTTGTTTTTCATAATTTTAGGACTTACGCTCTTGCCGTTATCCTGTCATGTTCTGTATACGCACGGTTTGCTTTGCCTGATACAAAGTGTTTTTGTCCCGAGACTCGTGCTGGAGGGTGGTGCTATCCCTCAGACTGCTGTAAGCATTGTGCTAAAAACATGTGCTCGAGTTAAATCACATGTAGCTGTGTTTTCTTCCACCCCTTCATACTTGTCCATTCTCCTGGTTGCTTTTTCTTCCGTACTTAAATGGATATTCCTCTGGCATGAGGAGGTACTAGACCAGTCTTACCCTGTGATGCCCATTTGAACAAGTGCTAGGACTAAGTCTAGGAGAGAAAAAAGGGGGCTGATTGTGCTGTGTGTGCACTTGAAATTAAAAGCAAAATTCTATCTTGAATAATTATCCCATTTCTGATCTCTTTTTCTGTTTTCATGTTTCTTTTGTTTTTTGTCCTCTAAACTTTGTACCAAAGCTGTGTTGAGCCTGTTAGAGAATCTGCTATTGTCATGTGGTCTGAGGCTTCATTAATTTTTTTTTTTCTCCTCCAATTTTGCCCTTCAGTTCTATGATGTGGATGTTAGTAGGCACATTTGGCCACGAGGAACTGTGATCCAGAGTCTAGGCTTTGTATCTGTAGCACAGTAGCTCTTACTTTCCAGCTGTACTGAGAACAACTGGGCAACCTAAGCATTTCTCCCTTCTTTAAAAAATTGATATAACCTCCAGGAAAAAATAGCATTTCTCTGGTAATCTTGCCTTATAGCAATGAAATCTTTGGTCTGCTGTTGCAAGTGGCCATATAAATGACTTTGGTATCCTCTGTGGAATCCCTAATACAATCTTCTGCTGGTTTTTTTTTTTTTTTTTTTACAGTTTCCTCCTCTGTTCCCAAAGCCAGCCTGCAGGAGCCCTCCCAGCTGCTGCTGGGAGCCTGCTCTGGCCCTTTCCCACAGTGGCGTCCCGCAGCGTCGGCTCCTCTCCAGGTCCAGCGAAAGGGTCTGATAGCATAAAGGTTGCATTAATGCCCAGTTGAGCAGAGTCATAAAAACAGGGCTGAAAATACACCACAGACCCGTGCTAATTCTGAGAGAAGTGACTCTCCACAACCTCCCTGCAAGCCTGGGAAGCACTCGAGATGCAGCTGTAATGCGTGTTCCTTTTACGGGGAACTGCAAGTGAGTTTGCAGTGAGCCGGAGCAGTATTGGCAGGCAAAGCTGCATGGCTCTACCTTGATGCTGTGGAGGGGCTTCTGTGGCAGAGGGTCAAAAAGCCACCCTGACTTCAAGCACCCTGGTTTAGCAGCACAGGCCGCCGTCTGCCTGCAGCCGAAGGTGGGGTCAGCAGCCTGTTGTCTCTGCTTGCCCATTGTGATCTGCTGCAGGCGGCTCGGCTGTTGGCACACATGCACCTATTCATGGGAATGAGAGTTAGCCAAAGAGCGGGGAGCCTCCTGCAGGGATGGAAGGAGAATTCAAAAGGGAAACAAAAAGCAACAAACCTAGCAAATGGCAAGTACTGGGGAAAATCAAGCCACCACTGGGAAGGTGGGGTGAGGGAAGGAGGAGGGATCGTGTTTATTACCACAGTGCAAGAAGTTTGGTTCTGGTGTGCAAGGTTGGGGAGCCACCATAATGTTTAGAGGAGAAGGGATCAACTGTTCTTAGTGCTCTTGTGTTTAAGGTGGGACTGTTGCGTGCATAGGGAATGATCAGGCAGCTGCTTTGTGTGTTTCAGAGCACAAGGCAGAGTCTCCACCACCTGCCTCTGTTCCCAGTTCCGATCCCCAGCTCAGTGGGAAGGTGCCTGTCCATCCTGTTACCTCTATGTAGTTACAGAAGCAAAAATATGAGCCAGAACTTGGCAAATATGAATGAGGCTTGCCAGGGGGAAATGCAAGTATACCTCTTTTCTTGTTTTTCTCAAGTATGACACTTGAACTTAAAAACCTTTTTCAGAGAAGGTAAAGGGGCTCTATGGGTCCTGATTCACAGGACTGGCACTTCAGTTCCTGCCTGCTCACGTGCCTTGGGGTGAAGAGGTCTCTCTTATTCCTGTTTCCTTCACTTGTAGGAGAGCATAAGACTGTTCCTTCCCTCCCCGACATCTTGTCTTGCCCGTTTTTGGACTGTAACTTCGCCAGGGCAGCAATGCAATATGTTCAGCACCCAGCCTGTTCCAGCCCTGCTGACAATGAGCACCACCACCCAAAAAGCAGAATTTTCCAACTTAGATGTTGTTCAAGTGGTCAGAGGCCAGGGAATGATACCGTAATGAACAGGACGAAATTAAGACCAGTACAATGGGAGCTGACTATCAAGAGATTTGGAAGACTTTTTTTTTTTCTTCCCCTAAGTCCTATTGTTTATGATAACTAACAGAACTAAATTATAACTAAACTATGCACTGTAAAACTCTGGCCTCTTGAGAACTGAGCAAGAGGCCTTATTGGATCTCTTGTGATTGAGATTGGCAGAAGTTGGGAATCTCTCTGCAACTATTGGGTGGAGGGGGTGGGGTGGGAAATTAAGACCGAAAGTTAGGCTTACTACGGTTGGCAGAAGAAACAACCCCACCCCAAAGTTACTTTGTCTTTTTTTTTTTTTAATTTTTTTATTGCAGTCTGATATATGTTGGTTCAGCTTGCTGCGTTACTGGGGCTAACAATGTCCTTTCTCTCTGCAGGCATTGGTGTCACTATACGGTTACTCGGAGAGTTTCCTGTCAAGTGCAGAATGGGTCAGAAACGGTGATCCAGAGAGTTTATCAGAGCTGCCGGTGGCCAGGACCTTGTGCCAATTTAGTGAGGTAAAAATCTTGCTGTTTTATGTTGCACATACAAGTTACCCTGCACTTTTCATTGGATTGATTAGCTTTTAAGCACTGTGTAGGAGTTGAGCTCGATGGGTCAGATGCTAATCTTCTAATTTATGGTGGTGTAGGTAAGGAATACCACCGATGTTAGCTGCAAAATAATTACACGTGCAGATATGTATAGCATTGGGGCAAGCTATGTTGAACAGCTTTAGCTTAGGTTGTTCTGCTAGTCTTCTGTGGAGAAGTGCAAACAGGAGGCTGGGAAAACGGTTGTTGTTAGTTAGTCAAGCATGAAGCTACAGATAAGTGTAAAGTCCTTGCGAGTGCAATGTGAGTGAACAGGGTTGGTGAGGATGCTGGACAGATGACACTGTGGGGTTGATTGGGATTGAGTCCTCAGACTCAGGTTCTTTGAGGGGAATGTTGATCCCATACATTGGAAAGCTTCACTCAGATTACTTACAGTAATGGACACAGGTAAGGTGCGCTGTACCTTTCAGAAAGGAATTATTTTATAGCACCTCTTACTCCTACATCTCAATATCCTTTACAGACATACATAAAAGTGCAAAGTCACCTCTCCCTAGATGAGACGCACGGCTTGGCTTGGAGATCGTGGCTTGTCAAAAGCTTCTCCCTAGTCTGCTATTAGCCTGCTGTGTTTTTCAGTCCTTTACTGTGTTAGGGTCCATTTACATAACAAATGTGAAATAACTATACAAACCTGCCACCTTTCTGTATGCGAAGTATCTTTACATTGTTTAGTTTTGCCTTCTCTGAGAGGCGTTCTCAGAGCAGAATAACATTATCCAGCCATCTAGGGAACTGGTGCAGGAAAAGCCATTGTGCTCTAAATTTACACCTAGCTTCTATAACAGTTTCCCATGTAGACAAGCCAATAATTTAGCTAGCAAGGTTTAGTCATTTATTACCCTTCTCTTACCAATTCCCCCATAGGGCAGTGATTGAGGTCCTCTTCTGCTTGATAGCCTAGCCAGAACGTGGTCAAACTACTGACAAACGTTCAGAAATATCCATCTCCCAAATCTGTGTCCTGTGTATACTGAACTACTCTTGTGACTCTATTCATCTGGAATTCACATTTTCCATGTGGCAGTTACCACAGTTGGTTCTCTAGTTTCTACTTGGCCACTGGTCAGTCTAAGTTTTTTTCACTTGTAATATATCTGCTTTGGTGTCTCTTTGGTCTTGTTTTATGCAAGGCTGTGGTTGAAACACTTAATATTTTACACTGTTATGGCCAAACTTCTGTTGAAGTTTTTTAATTTCCTAGACATTTTAAGCACATCATTGTCATTAGAAACTTGTGAGCTTTTGCCTTGTCTCCAAAACTTGCCAAAAACCTTGCTTATTTTTCCTTGTTGACATCACTGTAATTGCAGGAGTACCAAACAATTGATCATGTTACTGGTGAGAATCTTTTTCTGTGGGCTACTACAGTCACTCATATACATCAATTGTTGCTTTGACCAAGAGACTTTAAAGAAATGTGTTTGCTGTTGTGACACTGTTATTCATGGAATATTTTCAGTTTCAAATGTAGTTCAGCTCATTTGTCTGACGAGTCCAATAGTTTGGAGACAATGCAGAGTGGCAGCAGACTTCTCAATTTTTTTTTCTATTTGAAACTATCATAGAAAGAAGCTGAGGTTATTGATATTTAAAACCTCTGTTGCTGAAAGCTCAGCTGAGAGGAGCTGCCTTTCTAGAAAACAGTTGCCAGGAAGAAACCTACCAGACGAGACATGAGGATGCTAATGCTCTGCTCCCTTTGAAAGTGGGAGGGAGCATAAGACAGACAAAACGACTGGCAGCCTTCCAAGGAAATGGCTATACCATCTGTCCTCTAATCATACGTTTTTATGGCATGCTTATGTGAAATAGAGAGACCCTGGAGCTCCCTTTCCTGAGGACCTCCAGGAAGCTGCTAACAGAGATGCCCGAGCCCACCTGCTTATCAGCAGTGGCAAAGCAGAAGCAGCACATGCCAGTTTCTGACTATCTATTGGGCTGGCCGCTGCAGAGAAGGGAGAGGCCTGAGAGCAAATGGCAGTGAAGCCAAAGTCTTCCCCCTCCCTCCCCGCCTCCCTCCCTGTAGTGGTTGCTTGTTTTTCGGTAGTGCGTTTGACTTCTGATAAAGGAATGAAAAATAGCCACTGAAACTGATGGATATTGTGACATGCAACTCCTGTGTGAAACTTCTGCTAATCCTGAGTCATGTTGTATATTGAGGTCTTATTTCATGGGCCTATATATGGCTGCCCATTTCTGTTATATTGCCGATTCCTAGGGATATGTGAATAACTGGCTCTCTCTTGTCTTCCAGCCAAGCTGAAATAACCAAACGAGAGCTTTGAACAATTACATTTTTCCCTCCTTCACCAAAAGCAATGTTCTCTCTTCGGAAAACGCTAATCTCTCCTGTTTGTCGTCAGATGAAAAATTCCTAAAGGTAGCAATGGAAAAGACAGTCCCTCAGAGTCACGGGATAGTTGATCCTCTCCTCTGTTCAGTATCTCATTTGCTACTGCAGTCCCCGAACATGGGGGAAGTGTTGTATTTTGTTTCCTTCCTCTTCCATTGAGAAACTGGCTTTGAAGATGTGCAAGCTTATACCAGCCAGCAGGCTCCAGGGCTCCCTGGGGCAATGTCTCTGACTACTCCTGCAGAAGACAAACATGACATTCATCAAAGCAGAAAGTTAAAATTGGGTGCCCTACTTCAATTTTTGTCCTAGTGGGTTTGAGAGCGATTCTCTACCTACTTTTTCAAAAGGAAAAAGAAATGCCTCATTACCAAGTCTAAATGCTGGTGTTACTGGGCCTTTTGCCTAGAAGCTGGGCTGGTTTTAGCAGGAATCTGGTTATTCCTGTGATGAACCTACTGTCCATGGTGCAGGCCAAAGGTTTCCATGAGTATTGGCGCTGCAGCTGGGGTGAATACTGCCTCTTGTGCTTCAGACTGACTTCTCCCAAAAAGAGCATCATGGATGTGGAATGGCAGAGCTGGAGCCCGTGGGCTTGTCACTTTGCCACTATGGCTGTCCTTAAGGACACCTCTGCCCATGCTTCTTCCAGTCCTGCTACTGCAGGACCAGAAACATTACATGCCCCAATAGCTTGGGAGATTACGGCATTCATCTCTTTGGCAGACATCCTGAGTAAGGATGTCCTCAATAGATACCTTAAACAGGGAAGAGCAGTAAGAAGCACCAAATTTCAGTGTCCTGTCCTACCTCAGGAGAGGGCTTGCACCAGCTTGATGGAAGGGGAACCAAAGAATCCCTGATGTTGCTAAACATGGTATTCTCTAGCTCATCAGTCCTTGAGCGTGTTCCTGCAATATGAAGGAGCTTGTCTGCCCTGTCTGTAGTCTTAGATGCTGGCATAAATTCCAAAGAATCTGATCTACAAGACAGCTCCAGCAAGAATGCTTTACAGCATCAGTGTTTTGTTCCCGTTTCCTCCTTGCCTTCTCTGTGTCGGAACCTCTGTCTTCTCAGGTTTTCTGGAAGTCTAGCTTTCAAGACATGACAGGCATACTTGAGGTCTGTTTGTTGGTGGCTAGAAATGGTCGTGCTCTGTATATCCAATTTCTGCTCCTGTGGTTGCTTAGGTAATATCGATATGTTTCCCCTTTGATAAAAGACAAACTTAACTACCTTCTATGCAGAGATCTCGATGGTGCCTGAAATTGAATTATAAGGGGAGGCATGAGCAGATTCATATGGTGTTATGCTTGACTGTAAGCAACACAAAATATCAATAAGCTATCAGCATTACTCTGGCTTTATAGTATTCCTCCCAGCTGTGACTTGAAATAAGCTGTTTTCATCTCCTTGTTTACAGGGAGTCAACCAAATCTGGGAGAGCTTTCATTCTGCAAGCATCCGTTATCAGGACGCTCATTAGCAAAAGGGACGCCAGCCAAAAGAAAGGCATCTCGACTGTGCAGTGGCAGCCGAGAGGGGTGTTCTGTTAGAGAAACTCGTCTGGCCATGCTGATGTCTGCTTGTAAGCAAAGGATTTAATCCGTGTCCTGTCTCCCACTGATTTGTGTTAAGTTTCTTTTCCTTATTGCACAAACCGCAGCTCAGGGTCAAGCTTTTGACAGAGGAGTATCTGTGAGATCCTCAGCCTAGCAGCTTCAGTTGTGTGATGTCCTTGCTGTCTGTTCACTTGCGCTTGGCAGCTGTACTACTTTTGCGGGAGTGTCGTCATCTTGGCTTGGCTGGGATGAGCTGCTCTGTTCCCGACCCCCGCCCCAGATTCTTTATTTAGCTTGGGTGCTGAGTTGCTTTGGAGCTGTCTTGGCTGGAGACCTTCCCTCAGCAGATCTCTGTTCTTGAACTCTCTTCATTTGTCCAGTGAGGGCTTTGACTTCTGCATGCCATAGGATATGCCTTTGCTTTGTCACGCTACGGAGTGAACAGGCAGCTTTCCAGCAGTCTGGCTGAAGCTCCTAATATATTATAAAAATCGCATACCATTTGTCTATCTGAAGGAGGGGATAAGTCGCTTGCTTCATGTTTCAACAGTAACCTAATCCCTGGGTCTCTGCTGCCTGAACGGTTGCACCCAGCTCCCAGTAAAACTTTGCGTCTGAATTGTAACCCTTCTCCTGAGCAATCTTTTTGTTGCAGCTGTTGTAGGCTAATGCCCAGCTCTACCATGCTTAGGACTGTACCCTCCTAGAGGCTCACAGAGAAGGCTGGTTTTGTAGGCCAGACAAGGGTTTGAGACCTACGTTCAGTTGCTGGAGCTTTTGTGATTTTTCTGTGCCTTTGGTCAAGTGGTGCTGTGTATTGAAGCCACCTGTAAGATGAGAACAATTTTTTTTTTTTTTGTATTGTTGTGTCTTATGACCTTTGAGAGCAGGGCAACTTCTTGCTATGTCCTAGTCAGGCAAAAAGGTCCTAATTTTGATTTGTGTGTGGTTATTGCAGCCAGCAGAATAGTGTCCCAGTCAGG